ACTCTTGGAGTTATTGTTCCAAGAGTTAATAAATGGATTGTAATAAGATTTCTGGAGGCTGGTGTTCTTGCCCCAAGTCCAACACAGCTCTGTGTCCACCTGTATTATAAGACGAATGTCCAGGTGTAGATCACTCATACTGAGAAATATGGCCACTATTTGAAGGTAATTTCACATAGTATACTGTTTTAATTACATAACCATGCCTTCACTTACTCAGGAATATTTTCTTGGAAGATACTCCAAAAAGCCATATCCTGCAGGAGAATTCCTGCTAAGGCTTGTAGACACGCCTATTAAATTCATGCCTGCACATGGATCTTCATTTGGTTGAGATGAGAAGATCAACAAGGGTTTGAATCATGGGATTAATGTATGACACACATTTTCTAATGTCTTCGGAATTGCTGCGGACTAATTAGCTCAGAGTCAAATTATTCCCCGTGTTATTGGTCAAAATTCTTTTTCATTTCTGCTCTGCTACTGTTTTCATACAATTGAGAATCACCCAACTGTGCTCAGCTCTTGCCAGGATTTACAGAACAAAACATGAAGCTTAGCTAGCATGTCTCAGTGGTTAATTCTGCATGAAAAGCATAGTATTTAAATGTACTATTTCCATTTATCTAAAATTCCCACTGCCACACTCTTTAGAATACATAGGATATAGTAAGAATGCAAAACTGAGCATTCTGAGCCTAGGTTAATTTATTTAGGTGTTTAACCCATCTTAGCCATCAGGGTGCACAAATATATTTTAAAGTGATAACATAAATGAAACATGCAAACAAAATTTAGATTTTTAAACATTACACAATAACAAATATTGCCCAGCTGTGTTCACAGAGTTATGTTTGACTTTGAATGCTTTATGGAAAAACACAACTCAGTAAACTGTATTAATATACAATGAATCAAATTATAATATTGAGACACAAAATTAAAATTTGGGAAATACCAAAACTTTGTATAAACCAGCTTTTTCTCCTCCTGCTCCCAAGATGGCACTGTGTTATACTGTATATTCTTCCTCAAAGGCAAATGCAGTTCACTTATTTTCTGATGCCCAGATTGCTGAACACAGAAGTTCTGCAAATGTATTGTTAAATACAAGTATTGTATCCCATTTTCCAGGGAGAGCAATCAATTTTTTGGACTGGCTTTCTCAAAATTTATAAACCATCTCTCTTCTGTGATGGACTTCTCACCTATGTTTATGATAAGAATTGAATTTACTACTTCACTTTTCACAAGAAAACACACCATGAAGCCAAAAGCGATCTTTTTTTAAAAAAAACAAATACACATGTTGATAAAACATTTGTCATTGTTCAGTGCAGCCATTAAAAACTGCTACTGATATTGTATCAAATAGTATCCTGAAAGCTCCATGCTTCAGTCTGCCAGGGGAAACCCATGTTTCACTCTAGATTGCCAAACACCACATGAAAGAATATTCCCAGGCTACATATGCAAAAGCCAACTTCTGTATTTGTATTAAGCTCTCTCTACGAGAAATTTCCCAGCAAGAAAAGATCCCCAATAACCTTGAAAATGGAAACTTTACAGAGATTATTATGAAAAATCCGAGTTACTTAGTAAATACCACTATTAAAGTACGGGGACAATTTTAGGCATTTAATAAAATGTATAATCACCAGCAAAACATTAATAGTTGCAGTTACAATCCCTTTGGTCCTATGGAAGCCTTTGGGGACAGCAAGATGGTGATAGTGGTTTTTAGACATTTAGGGTTCCTACTCCCATCCCTCTGCCACCAAGAGCTTCCCCAGGACCCAAAGGATGTTTTAGGAACTTGGGAACTTTGATAGTGGAAGGACAGAAAACATCTGATTACCAAGATAGAGATGTGGTTGATGTACAGTAATGTAAAGTTATACAGCATAACTTTACATTACTGGATTTCTGCTGATGTCTCTAGAGTTCTTGAATGTTTCAGTGATCAGTTCTTGCTAAGAAACAGGTACCTAAATTCTGCATCTCATCAAAGTACACATTAATTTAAAGATGGAGAGAGCAGCTATGTTTTATTTTCCTTATTGAAAAATAAGAACAGGAAGCCACTCTGGATGTGAAGAATTTGGCTTATCATCTGATCTGTTTCCTGCCAGTAAACTGAATTCCAGGTTTTATAGCTTCTTGAAAATTTGGTGAGTGAAATCCTTTGTACGTTCCACAGATTCAAATGGGTCTACTCTGGTTACTTAGTGTAGTAAATTAGAACTAGAGTAGGCCCATTTGCATCAGTGGAACTAACAGAGATGACTCCTCAAATTGGCAGTGTTTCAATGGGCTGATACTAATGTGATTTATTAGACTAAACGATACAATTTCAACCAGTATCTATATATTTGAAGAATAATAAAGATGAAGAACTACAAAGAAACAGAGTAAGAGTGCCATTTCAGGAGCTGTCATGCTAGAAAATATTGCAACTTCTTAAAACCAGTCCTCTGATTTTTTTTCAGGAGTTTCCCAGCAAAATACTGGGAAATACTGTAGTCTTCCTCTGTTCTAGTTTTTCTCTAGCTCCAGATGAGCTTTTGGAGTGCACAGAGTATATTCAGTATGCACTGTTCATACCTACGTGTACAGACAACGATCATATGTACACTTATGTACACTTATATCTAATGAATCTACAAGAGCATTGTTTCCTCTGGAAGAACATTTGACAGAATAGTCTAAATCATGGGTTCCTTACCTGAGGGTTGTGACACCCTATGTGGGGGTCACCGCAAATATTTTTAATTGCAAATATTTTTCTATTTATTATAGTAAATATATTATACACAATGTTGTTTTATTTTAATCCTCTTGTCCCACAGACAGATACACTTAATTTAAACCAGAATTGCAGGCAACCTAGAGTTCTTAGTCATTTCTATAGCCCTCTGGGTAGATTTTTCTTTTATACACGTACATCATTCTTATCCAGTCCGAAAGAGCTGCTCTCACTCCCTTCGCTCTGTTCCTCTGCCTCCACCTTTAGAGCACTGATATCAGCCCTTCAGACACGAGCATCAGCCCAGCTCAAAGAGGCCTGAATGAGGCATGCACATGGCACATGCCGGGAACACTGGCACCCAAAAGATGGTGGCAGGATTGAAAAGTTGTTGCCACTGTGGCAGGGGCGCCTTTTGCTCCGCCTCAGTCTTCCAGTGTGGTGATGGCAATGCAGTGAAAGGGGACCGGGGCAGGGACCCCACCTGAGTCATCGAGGAGGAAGGCATGAGGGGCAAAAAGGGGGTGAATCAGGGAGGGGCTAGGGCATGGGGCAAGGTCTGTGTGGGAGCTGTTTATTTGGGCTTGAGGCGGAGGGGCTCTTCACTGCAGGGTCTTTTTTGGGGGGGGGACATGGAAGGTTGTTTCTATGCCCCAAAATGTAAATTAAACTCAAAGTCCATTGACATTTTTTTCCTTTTCAAATTTTATCTGGCAGAGGCAAGATTTACTGCCCCCATAATGTATCATTATATTTATACAGTATTAATACTGTATGTTAGGTAATTACTATGTTCTGAAAAAATCAATTTTTAATATGTTTTCCTTACTCTATTCAAAATGCTTTTTTATGTAAATGTGGCAGAGGGTCACAGGTTACTTGGGGGGTTGTGACTTGAAAAAGGTGAGGAAACACTACTTAAACCTTACGTTCTTGCTGCCCCATCCAAGCAGAACTCTTTGGTTCCTATGAACAGCTTATGCATCGGATGGCAGCGGGATGTTATGAACAGCTAAGCTAAGTATGGCTGCTAATCTATACAGAAATTTACCTCAGGGTCTTCAATGGGGCTTACATAGTGTTCTAGGTCCTAGAAAAGGTACCAGTTTTTAAATAGGGTGTGTGATGAGTGTTTTGTTTGTTTGTTTTATCTACCCACCAAAGACTCCTCAGGAAACTCTGACACTAATGAAAATCAAAAGCATTTGTTGTCAATGAGAAGGGAAAAATACCAAAGGAGGGCAGAAAATTCAAAAAAATCACATATTCACTGAAGGCCTCCCATGCTTGCTTGCTGCTACTGCAACCCTTGACAGGACTGCTGTTGTGGGTCTCTGCTTGTTACTCTCTGGCCCCCAGTTCCCCCGACAAAATGGCTGTGTGAGACTACCACTCTTCAGAGGGTCGCTTCATCAGAGGGGTCCCTGGATGTAAGAAGGGTCTAGCTGCACTTGAGTACAAGTCAGGAATGCAGATTAAGAGAGAGACTGGTAGTCTTCTGAACCAGTGTACAGACAAGAGTGAATGGGTGTAACATGGGAACACCCTTCTGGTGCTGGTCTGAAACAGCTGTGCAAACACAACAGGAGGCAAAGAAAGCCACACAGACGGCCAGTCTCAGCCTAGCCCTAGACGCTGAGCCTGTCCTTCCTCTCCTCAGGCTACTTTTCTCTAACAGGCAGCCAAGAAGCCGCGTGTAACGTTTAACCCTCAGCCTTTCTCTTAGAGGCCGAGATTTACTAGCAACTCTCGCCCCCACCCCCCACCCCCGAGAAGAAGCCAGACTGGCACCGCGAAACGAGCTCGGCGCTTTTTCCAAGAGAAGGCGAAAGCGACGAGACCTCCCCCTCTCTCCCTCGCTGATGACGGCCGGAGCCGCTCTCCACCCGCCCGCCCTCCAGAGCCCCACCAGCGGCCAAGCTACGCGGGAAAGCGGACCTCAGCCCACTTTTCTGCCGGGGAAACAAGGCCTTCGGGGCGCACCGCGCCTCTCCTGAAACTGCACGGGCATCATCAGCCGGCTGGCCAGCGCGCTGAATCCATAGCCTCAAGGCTTCTGCGCTTGCCCGCCTCCCCAGTTCCCCTTCCACTGAGCTACTGGCCAGCACCAGGCTGACGCCAGACCACCGGCCGAGGTCCCAAGCATCCCGTCTGAAAAAAAAGGGGGGGGGAAGAGTGGGGAGTCGGCAATGGCGCGCGCGCCCTCTTTTCCTGTGGGGTCTCCGTCCAGCGCGGGCGGCTCCTGGTTCCTTACCTCAGCAGGAGGCGGCACGTCGCCGTTGCCGGTCCCCGCGGTCAGCCCGTTCATCTCGTGGGATTCTGGGGTGGCCGAGTCCATGTCTCTGGGGCCGCTGGAGCGGAGCCCTCGGGTTCTGACCACCGGGAGGGAGGGAGGGAGGCCGGCAGGCAGGCAGGCCGGCAGGCAGGCGAGCGGGGAAAGCGAGGAACCGAGGCGTAAGCGTAGGCCAGAAAAAAAGCCTCGCTCCCGGGGACGGCTTTGGCGCTTTGAGGGCGAGGAGGGAGGAGGAGGAGGAGGAGGAGGAGAGCTCGCTGAACGCGGGGTTTTCCCTTCCTGGCCTGAATATACTTGGCATGGGAAGCCTGGTCCCGCCTTAGACGGAGGAAGGGTTTGCGCGGGTATGTTAGCGGTCCGCAGATTTTCCCCTTCCGTCTGCGGCGGGCGAGGCGTTTTCTGTTTGCAAAGGGGGCAAACTTTTAGTTAACTTGGGCCAGTCTGTCCCAAGGAATGATTCTTAGCTGATAGAGGAGAGGATACCTTTGCTTTTCCCCCCTTCAGGAAAGTAAACATTGGGCCAACGTCAAGAGCTTGTGTCCGCTGCCAGATGATGACGGCTAAGCCTTTCGGGAAGCGCTGCAGAGATGATTAGGATTATTATTAACTGGCTCAAGAGATGGGGGTGAAGGCAACAGCTAGGTCTCTATCACAGGCTTTACCCTCCTCGCACAGCAGGCACTGCCCTTTTCTCTTTATTCCGTTCCTTCTTCAGGAAAATCTTCTGGGCTTTTCTCATCTCTCTCTAGAAAGCCTGCCATCCAACCTTTTCCTTCGGTTGTAGGCTGCCAGCAGGACTCCTCAGCTCCACTCTCTTCCTCTCACAGAAATACTGTACAGGGAATCTGATATTAGGTTATTGACTCATTGAATTATCTTTAGATTCTAAAGTTTAGCCTGCATCCAGTCCCTTAAGTCGGAGAAGTAAAATAAATGAGTACAATATGTCTGTGTAATGGGGAAGTGGAGGAAACTAATGTATTATTATTATTAATTTATGTAAAAGTGTCTTCTTTCTGTTATACACTCATGGCCAATTCACTACCATTATGGCTCTTAGTAGTAGTAGTACGTAGTACTACTGATCAGCTTATGATCAGCATAAAATATAATAAAGATAAGTAAGAACAAATTCAACCGTAAAACCATTAACATTAAATATTACCAAAAATACTCTCATTAAAATCTATAAAAAGTTTATGAACAAAAAGCTGCAATTCTTTAATATTTCC